CCCCGGCGCCAAGGTTTCTTAATATCGCATCTAAATCTTAAATTATTAACCCGTAAATTATGTTTATTATTCAGAATGGATGTTTATGTCCCCTATTTTTCCCTCGGCCGGATATCGGACTAATAGCCGAAATGCACTTCCAGAAAGCAATTAAATTACACTTGATTAGAGTTCGGAATTTGTAATATAAACTACACGCTGAGCCATGCAGCGCAGATTCGGCTAATACCAATTCCAAGCTGAACTTCAAAAACCATTCCGAAAGTTCCGAGAGTGCATCACTTCTGCCCCGCATGCAGCGCAATCTCATTGGCGATATTAATTGTAAGAGTGGTTACATCTTCTAAATAGGATCTTTTATCATTTTAAGTATCATAGATGATAGTTTAAGAGCATGTTTTTATAAATCTGTCTACAAATCTTTCTTCCTCTACATTCATTGTATATTTCCGTTTTTAAATTTGAATAAATTCCATAAATTATATATTAACATAAAAGTTAATAGGGTCTTTTTGCCTAATAACCAAAATAGAACGTAATTAATTAAATATAATAAATCTTAAATTAAATAAAAAACTAAATATTGGCAGTTGATCATTTAAGATCAAAAAATATTTTAAAATATTTTAATAAAACAATTAAATATGATATGAAGTTCACCTCTTCTTTGAAGATTAATGAGATACAGAGTCTACTATTAGGCTTTAGTAGAGGAAGATATTAAACTGCTGAAAAAATTAAAAAGAATCGTTCCAACATCTCTTTTTTTAACTACCAAAAAAATTCCCACTCCCGTCCCTCTAATCAGTCATCTGTTGTGCGACTAACAGACCCCTTTTATCCTGTAATTAGAATCAACGTTTGACGACAAACAGCAAACAACGGGCATAAAAAAGTCGCACATGCATGCATACGGTGGGACACATAGGAGCAAGGGAGATACGTGTATACCAAAAGCGGGAAACATTTTTTTTATGAGTTTCTCGTTACGCCGGCTCTATATGTGTATGTGTGTGCGAGTCAACGATCGATATGGCCGAGAGAGGAGTGGACTTCCGGTGCCCGGAGCTCGGCCGGAAATTTAACTTTCATCCGCCCGTACGCAAATCACCAATATTTATTGGCGAGGCGTGCGGCGTTAGAAAAGAATCGACTGCAACTAGAATCCATATGGAAGTAGCGCACCGAAGAAACGGTCGGCGTGTTAAGGCCCCCGCCAAACGCCGCCGCCCCCCTTTAAAGCATGAACGAACGACGAAGAAATTCATTACCGGCCGCCGCCCGTCGAGCGCCCTTCGCATCCTTCTTCGCCACCCGAAAGAGAATAGGGGGGCTGCACAAGAAATGAGTTTTTGATTAAGTCGAAAAACTGCTGCTGTAATTTATGGCAGCACTGATAATTAGGAGACGTACTTCCTACTCTTCTATTACAACGCTAAATCAATCTGTTTAACATGAAGGTTTTAACATCTAATTATCTTCAATCTTCATTTTTGTGATATTATTTTTCACCTAAGTTTGGCAGAGAATCGGAAGGTGATCAGACACCGATTTTTTCCATAACAACCAATGCATCGAAAGAGTTTAGATAGCGACGGTGGTGACGGAAACGCCTTTTTTGTTCCTTGCTCCCCGGAAACTGATCCCGTCTGTAACGAGCTTTACCTGTGATCTATTGGTCTTTCAAAATCAATATTAACTGTTGAAACCTATGTACCTATTACAACTAGTTCAAATACACCAAATTTGTACAGTTGTATATTTGTTACGACAATTAAACATTGATCAGTAGGTTCTTGAACCGAACTTTATGTGATTTTACATAGTACTCAAACTAGTTACTGTAACAAAGCGTATCCGTTCTACCTCTACTTTCCTTTTTCCCCACATATTTTATAAAATATTATTAGTATTATTTTTGTAAAATTATTAAATTAACCTAACATATAAAATAATTATTGATTTAGCTAACTTATACATTTTTAAAACTGTACTCAATGCAGCAATTTATAAAATAAAATACGAATAAGAAACTTTCTCTTCGTCCGATTAAACATTTAATATTTATCCAGAAGGTTTCCGTTTATTTTCGTTCCTGGGTCTGGATCCGTTTTCCCGTCGTTTTAATGTTCAATGAAATAAAACAAGAAAATATAAAATAAAAACGAGGGTGCAGAAAGAAAAACAACATACGAGAATGATAAAATTTAGAATCGATTCGCTAAAGTGTACGACGCCTACGGCTCTTTCCGCCGTGAAAGAATAAAAATTCATATTCTCGCTGCCAAACAAAATATTTCTTTTGTAAAAGTTGTTTTGGGATTCATGGAATATTTAAGATGTCGGAATTGTTCTTCGGTATAGGAGACCCGTTTCTATTTTTCTCTGAGCACTCACTTTTTTTTTGTGTAAACTGTATGTATGTTTATATATATACTGTCGTGTTCGCCTCTTACTCTCTCCCCGTTACTCTTTCCTCGGGGTTGTTGAAAGAAGAATGTTCACAGAGAGAAAACACGAGACTGGAAGAACCAAAGAACCATTAGTTAGGGACTTTGAATCTCCTGCAAAACAATATGTATATACCACCCTATAATTATGAGTAATGGCGTTGAGCCCCCAGACAGTTTGCGTTTTTATTTATATTTATACATCTCATTTGAATACGCCATATATAATATTCGAAATAAGATAATACAAATATTTTTTATCTATGTTGTTTCTGAAACAAATCATAAATAAAATAAATATATTTTTCAATAAAGATGGTAATAAAATATAAACATTTTTTTTTTGTTTTGGATAAGAAAAGTTCTTGAGAATTTAAAATTGTTCAATAATTCCATATATAAATATTATATTATAACTTGTAACTTCAAGCAACCCAATTTATTAAAGATTTTTCTGCTGTTTACAATATATCTACAAATATCTAATTGGTGGCAGTCATGGCAGGTGAAATCACATGTAATGTTACGGTGGCAATTAAAATCCTTGCAACCATAATCCTGACTGTTTCAAAATTTCGTATATCAAAATCTCAACTATATCGAAATCCCAACTGTATCAAAATCTCGACTGTATCCAAATCCCGACTACATCTAAATCTCGACCCATAATGTTAATTAGAATTCCATTAAAAAGATTTATATTTTTTAAAATGAAAATATTACATCTTATATATACTTCCACGTACAAAAGGCTATTGAATGTACTTTTTCTGTGTCTTAAGAAATTATATTATGAATATGTAATTATAATTAATGTACATAATGTATATATTTACATAACTATTTACCTCTCTTAGTGCAGGTAATTGGTTTGAAATAGTACTAATCGAAGAACTAAATGCATACAAAAATAAATTGCATAAAAAGATATTTGTTCAACCAATAATGTTTGCAAACAAAAACATTTTAAATAAATATATTTAATCTTTGCCATCAATTAAAAGTACGTGGTAATATTATTCATCGCAATTAAATTTTATTTGTTTTCATTGAGGATTGAATGTCTTTCACATAGGATTAGTTTAATTGATCAATTCGACTTCTTTTTTTATGCAAGTTCAATTGAGGCAGATAGGATTGTTATTGTTTTAAATGAATTATGGGTAGGCGGTTGTGGCGTAACAAAAGGGCCGATATAATTTTGCGGCGGTTCTGGTGCTCGTGAATGGACAAAGGAATCGCTTTATTGCGCTAATAAAGTTGATACGTTTCGACGTTTACAGAGAGCTTTCGCTCCCTATCACCATGCACGCACAAAACCCACACCGTTCCCGATCTACAGAGGTGGCGGGAGGTTTTTTGGGGTAAGAGCGGGGGCGGTCGGCGGCCCCCTTCGACCGCACAGCCGCCGCATTTTTTCCTCTCTCCTCTCATAAACGGCTACAGATACGGCCCCGTGTGAGTTTTTATAATGATTCCCGCGCGCCACCCTCTCTATCGATTACACTTGTCAAAGTGTTACACACACGCAAAGGAGCTTTCCAGCACATTGAAAAATATTCAACGCAATGAAAAAATATTGCCAAACACATGTTACCGCACGCTATTTAGGGACCAGAATTTTCGTTTTTTTCTTTCCGGCTGATGTTCCTAACTATGTTTTAAAGCCTAACGTCTAGAAATATTTAACGCTCGAATTATACGTTCAACATTTCCGACATATTTCCATAACCATAGATAGATACAATATTTTAAATAGTAATTGAATACAAACTTGCTATTTTACATGTCTTATTTTAACAATAATAAAATACGAATTTACAACATGAATATTATGTAAAACATATGTGCCTATATTTTTAAGATAATGTTCATTAACTATTAAAATTACATCATCACTGCAATTTGGAAAATAAAACTATAATATTTATAACAAATGAAACTTGAATTGGTACTTCCTTAAAAACAGATTCATCTTCCGTTCATCATCTAAACAAAATAACCCATAAGAAATACCAAATTTTTATAGGAATTATAATAAAGGAATTATTATAAAGGAATCAAAAGTGTAATTTCAATTATATTTTTTTAATTAGTATTTTATAATTACAAATTCAAGAATGTCACGAACAATGACTGATGAGAAAATTTTAATGTATGGTAAAATTAGAAAAAAAAAATTATTCCTTTACATGGAATAAAGAAATTCGATTGTACCGCTGCGAATAACACGGTAAATTATCATATATGAAGAAATATGTTATGTAAAAGTGATTTTATTGTATAAAATATTCAGAATAAGTGTATTTAGGAGGTTTTTGTGGTAGATTTATATATTTTGATGTGCCTGCTACATCATTTAAAAACTTGTGTACACATATTATGTGTATTTTTGAATATGTATACGAGTAAATAATTTTGGAACGGATTAAACTCGTTAATGCGAGGTTCCACTGTACTTTAAATATTTATAAAAAAAAATAAAAAATTTAACCCAAGACTATGGGTCTTTAGAGAAACATTGTTATCATTGAATTATTTTTGTTACAGAATTTAGAAGAGAGGGATAGAAAGAATTTGGCGTACAAAGATCAACTAAACAGAGAACGTAGATACCTAAAAAGGAGGCTGGATCAGCTCTCGTCGAATGGTAACCATCATCACACGGCGACGATGTCGAAACGGCGCTCCGTTTCTGAGTGTTCGTCGTCGACGATATCCAGTAACCATTCGACCGCCTCTCACTCGTCGGCGCCGTCGCCCATCTCCGAGACAGGTGAGTCCGGCTACTCGTCATCTTCAATTCCTAGTCCCAACACTGCCATTTCCGATCACGCGTACCACAGATTACCAATGGCACATTACTTAAATGGTACGTACAATATGATATTAAATGACAATATTCTCGCATTAAATCAATGTATCAGTATTTTCATTTAATTGTTTTTGTTCTAAACAAAACAAATATAAATCAAATTTACAAAAAAAACTTTTAACTGTTATAGTATTTTCTAGAATTCCTTCCTCAAACTATTAGAAATATACTTTTTTTAAATGATTATGCAAAAAAATATATACTATATTAGTTAAAAGTTCATATTGGGATCTAAGACGTTCACTGTATATCAATAAATCAATTATTATTTTAAAATTTAAACATTGAACGTATTAGAAATTTTGTATTTTATGTGAAATTTTAACGAACTACTTTTAATTGACTCCTTTTTAATAATTACGTACTTCAAATTATTATTATTATTTTAAATTATGAATTGAGTTAATTACATAAATATGACTAAATAAAATATTTTTTATAAAGGATTCAAACGAAAGAGTTCAAAGTGTATGTGCTGAGAATATTATATGTTAGTAAACGGGTTATAAACATATTTTCCTATATGCATATTCAATTAAAATGAAATTGAATGTATTCAGTTATAAAATATAACGAAGCAATTTTTAATTAAAAATTCGATATTGCATTCAGAAATAAAGTTTCAGCGAATAAAGAGGAAAATTGAAAATTTGTTGTTTCGAGGAATATAACTAGGTTCTTTGCTTGTCAGCTTGTTTCCAATATATAATACATTTAGTTCAATGAATATCGCATAACCATTGTCGTTTGGCCTGGCGCATTCACCAATTTATCAATACTTATAACTCGCATAATACAAACTTTATTTTAATGATGAAAATCAGAAAAAACAAGAACTTTTTATTTATTTCAATCACATTCTTATAAAGAACTATTTCAACAGCAAATTTTGTCATTAATACATATTAATTTACTTATCTAAAGTAAAAAAAAAAACAAACCAACAAAATAATACGAGAATTTAAATTGAAAACTATAATTCATGAAAAAAAAATATTAAGAAAAAAGTAAAATATTTTTAAAAAAAGATACAGGTCTATTATAATAAACTTTGGTGTAAAGTCTATATTGATTTTCGGTTTGTGTAAAATGTATATGGAGCATTAAACAGTACAACATTTATTGCAGAAACCCTCCTAATCTGCACACAACATTTAGTTTATGCGAACTTGTTCGCCGGAGATAGGAAATTATTGCCCTTCGGTTTCGGGACTATCTCCACCCTCAAATCTTGTTGATCGGGATTTGTAAAAATTATGTGTGGGTCAATGCGGGTCAAACATATTAACACCCGCACCCATACAAGATTTACGACAAAACGAAAATAGATTTACCACCAAAATGTGTGTTCTCGGTACACGCATTTACCATTTATTATGATATTATATACAATTAATTGTTCTGTCCTTAATATAAAATAATGATAATTAAATACTTAATGGAAAAACTTATAATAGATAATATTAGTGTAGAAACTTTGATTTACTATGTTGTGATTTTAGTTTTAGTGATATTTCATGATAAGCAATAATAGTTGGTACGCATGACAGTTCGACAGAAGTCAAATGCCAAAAAATGTGGCATGTTATATAAATAATTAAATTGAATAAATCAATTAATAACAAATATTCCAAATAAAGTTATCAATCATGAATTACTTCCACTAATGTAGATTTTTTTGTGTAAACGATAGAAAATATTTCAAGTGTGTTATGTTAAGTTAAACTTAATTGAGTAGAATGGAAAATACATCAGGAATACGCGAAGCAGAGGAAACTATATATCAAAGCCAGGGCATTAGTGATTTGATTTCAAATCAATTCTTGTTGGTTTGGTAGAGATTGATGTAGTTCCTATTGAATTCGGAAGAAGGCGAATTCCGTGCACTCTCCGGATCCGCTATTTATATAATTTTTCTAACGAGAAGTGGAAGGAGGAGATTCGCATCGTGAAAAGTTCTTAATGTATGATTTCTATAATAATGTCGGTGATACATTAAACGTTGCATTACATAATGCATTTTCACCTATTGTGCGTCAATCAGGATGGCCGAGAAAATACGCTCAGGAGGAATAGACTGACGGAGAAGAAGCATTAGCTTCACCGAATCGTTTGATAATACATATCCTATTGCTGCCAACGATAAGTAATGTCTATGTGATCAATCGTGTTTTTCTTTCAGCTTTTTGTTCCTACGGAACATTACGCTAAATTTGTTCCATTTGTGTTTCTTCTCCTTAGTTTTTGTATTGTCCGCAACTTTGTCTAAAAGAAAAATATAGTAGATGTTGTTGCATTAATATTGCATTCTATACTAATTCCATTTACAGTAATTAATCACTTGTATTGTGCGGTTAATTAATGCTCGATATGCAAAGCGCATATCAAAATTATAATGAATCCTGGAAAATTAACTAAAATAAAATCAACCATTATTTTAAATTTTTTGTATATCCTTCAGAAGCAATATTTTGTAATAACTCTTTTCTCTATCTGCTACTTTAGTATTATTTATTATTTTACATTCAATATTTTCTATATTTTTAAATAAATCTATAAAATAAATAATTATTATAGACAAATTTGTGGTCAATGAACAGGATTAAAACCCAATATAAAATATTATAACGTTTTATAGTAATAGGTACTAACAAAGTTACATTTGACGTAATCTTGTGATTTACCACAGACAATAAGTAATGGCTTTGTGATCAATCGCGTTTTTAAACCCCATATTTTTTTATTTTTATGGTACATTACTCTAAATTGGTTCCATTTGTGTTCCTCCCCTTACGTTTTTTTTGTATTACCACGGGTAACAGAAAAAAAAGAGGAACGCAGGAAGAAGTCGGGAGAAGACCATATAACCCAATATATTTATCCATGCGTTATTGAATGATAGAGAGACCGCGGCGACTGCCTCTGTCTCTTGTTCCGCCGTCCCCGCATCGCCTTTACACAACCGGCCTCCACCAACCACCACCTCCCGTCGCTCGTTTAGTTTGCTCAACTGATTTCGCCGCAGTTTATTTCCTATCGGCTGCCGAAACGAAACGGCGAAATTATGCAACGCGCTATTTCCTCTCATTTACCTCGGAAAAGCGGCCAAATTTATTTCTGATGACTGCCTCCTCCTCCTCCGATGACTACCACCTATCTCCGAGCTTACCTTACCTTCGTTGGAAATACCAGTCCTTCTTCGGTCCCGGAATTTATTCGCGGCAATTAATTACATTTAATTGTCGAGCATTTAACCTTTTGCGTTTCCTCGGAATGGACCACGTATATTCGAAAGGGCTCTGCAGGGACTTCGATGGAACGGGAATTGCTCGCTTCCAAGTTTAGATATGTTGCAAGTCCACTTCCGGCGCAAGAGTATCACGGAAACTTAGTATTTTTCGATTTCCGAATAAACACCGCTGCGTGATGTACCATACATGGAAATCGTTTACATTTCCTCAACGAGTGCGAGAAAATCTTAACTGATTTGAACATCGGAAGTATTCCTGCACATATATTTGATCTAGCCGGAGATGTTGTTGATGTACGTTCCTATTGCATCTTTTCAATGTTTGCGTTCCGTTCCTTACACTTATTGATATGTTACGTTAGAAGTGAATAGTACAGCGAACGTAAATTATTACTACTCAATGTATACAATCTCTAAAATAATCAATGAAAGTGTAAGAAATCATTCAAAGCATAATTTTTTTTAATAATGAATACATAATACTCTATCTAAAATTCTACTAAAATTTGTTTACAAATTATTATTACATTATTATCATATATAATGTGTTTTATTTCGAACATACATTTTATTTATTACCAAAGAAACATGTTGGAAATCGATTATTATTTGTGTTTGTATAGAGCGAACTTGTTTGTTTCTCAGCCATTTTTGTGTTGCGGCAGCGACCAATTATTGTCTGCATATTTCAGAAGGAAAACTGATTCTCGAGTGAACGCCTGAAACATTAATCGCATGCAAGCATATTTAATTCCGGAGTCTCTCCCTCGAGCAAAATCAAGTAAATATTCCTAGAGCGAATTTCAAATCAATCCCGGTTGTATTCATAATTAACCACCATCCAAGTGCTCACGGTTTCACGGTGCCCTCATTGAACGAACCGCTAAATGTGTTTTATTAATTAATGACGAAGAATGGAAAACATGCTTCAGCTCCATTGGATATTAACTTCCGGTTCTATCTCCGGCAATATTAAGTTAACTATGCATCAAGCTATTTAGTACTTACATTACTTCAGCAAACAAAATAATTTACAAAATTATTCGCCAATGTTTGCCAAAGTAATTGAATATACTAGTTGTTATAGATGTAGTTTTAGCAAATTGATATTACCAAATTATTTACTTAATTCTTACTTTACTTTATATTTAAAAATTTTAATAAATTGTTCAATATATTTGAATTTCCACTATAAAATAAGTTATATTATTTAGTTATTGATTTAATTCTTACTTATTTACGCCGATTAAAGTGGAAAAGTATTGAAACTATTTTTTTATTGAATCAATTTACTCGTATTTCTAGGAAATCAGCGAAGCATTTTAAAAATGTCATCCTTTAGTTTCAATAAAACTAAACTACATTCGTAATGCGATCACGTAGCTACGTGGCATTTGATAACGTTCTCTTAGGGGAATATCAAAGATATATTCATTTATCCAACTACTTATGGAAATGATTAATATTTGATAAAACGTAATTCTCTACCGAGAAAATGGACAAAATTTCTCAATTTAAGGGAAACGCCTTCCGTGATATAAGCTACTAACCACTTATTTAAGCATATTCGCTGCATTCGTGTTTAACTTCCAGTGACCAAGAGTCGTAACAAATAGTACAATTTTCGATTTAAATTGCCTGAAATCACATA